TTGTGGCAAGTTCTTAGTGGGATGGGCATCCCAAGCCACCTTGTCGCTCTCCTGAGGAATCTGTACAAGGACCAAGTAGCAACAGTCAGAACTGACCACGGAACAACAGACTGGTTCAAGATTGGGAAAGGCGTACGGCAAGGCTGCATCCTCTCACCCAACCTTTTTAACTTGTATGCAGAACACATCATGCGATGTGCGGGGCTGGATGAATGCAAAGCTGGGGTGAAAATTGCTGGAAGAAACATTAACAACCTCAGATATGCAGATGACACCACCTCTGATGGCCGAAAGCGAGGAGGAGCTGAGGAGCCTTCTAATCAAGGTGAAAGAAGAAAGCGCAAAAGCCGGGTTGCAGCTAAAAAAAAAACCAAGATTATGGCAACAAGAATGATTGACAACTGGAAATAGAGGGAGAAAATGTGGAGGCCGTGACAGACTTTGTATTTCTAGGTGCAAAGATTACTGCAGATGCAGACTGTGGCCAGGAAATCAGAAGACGCTTACTTCTTGGGAGGAGAGCAATGTCCAGTCTCGATAAAATAATAAAGAGTAGAGACATCAGACTGGCAACAAAGATCCGCCTAGTCAAAGCCATGGTATTCCCTGTAGTAACCGACGGATGTGAGAGCTGGACCTTAGGGAAGGCTGAGCGAAGGAAGATAGATGCTTTTGAACTGTGGTGCTGGAGGAAAGTTCTGAGAGTGCCTTGGACTGCGAGAAGATCCAACCAGTCAATTCTCCAGGAAATAAAGCCTGACTGTTCATTGGAGGGAAGGATACAAGACACAAAGTTGAAGTACTTTGGCCACATAATGAAAAGACAGGATAGCTTGGAGAAGACAATGATGCTGGGGAAAAGGAAGGAAAAAGGAAGAGGGGCCGACCAAGGGCAAGATGGATGGATGGCATCCTTGAGGTGACTGGCTTGACCTTGAAGGAGCTGGGGGTGGTGACGGCCGACAGGGAGCTCTGGCGTGGGCTGGTCCATGAGGTCACGAAGAGTCGGAGACGACTGAACGAATGAACAACAATGTTTTGTAATTTGCACTTGTGTCTTTTTCATGTTGTACACCGCGATGAGTCGCCCTCGGGCTGAGAATCGCGGTATATAAACGCAGTAAATAAATAAATAAATAAATAAATAAATGTTCAGGTGGAATCTCCTTTCCCTATCCAGAAACTAGTGCACAAACTCTTAGCTCTCTGTTCAGCCTAGGAATTGCTTTTATGATGTTGTGTTGTGATATTGTAATCTGTTTTATTTTATTTCTGATATTTTGACTTGTTTTTATTTTACTCATTGCACTGTGTTTTAATCTGTGTTTTTTCAGGCTTGTCCTTTTTTTAATTATTATTGATTTCTCCATACAGTTAACAAAACAATACAATATGAACCTTAGCCATCTAAAAGATAGTATCAAAAACCGATTACAATTTTATGGATAGGATATAGGTTCCAATTGTGCTTCCCTTTATCGTATATCTTGATTAACTACCCCTTTAACCCCCCCCCCCCCCCCCCCCCCCCCCCCAGACCACCCTCTTCCCTCCCACCCCCATCTGGGTTTACTTAAATCAGTTCATTGATTTAATTGTCTGGAAGGCCTGATTTAAAGTTCTGTACCTATCTTTTCCTTCCGTTTTGTTGACTGAACAAGACCATTTCCTAAACCAATCTTGTCTTGACTGACTATTCAAATATTTATTTTTCTTTTCATAGACGAAATCATTAATTAAATATTCAGAGAGATAAGACCACCAAGTTTTCAGGTCCCACCTTGTTTTATCTTTCCAATCTCTGGTGATTGTGGCATGTATAGCAGCTATCATAAATTTCAATATATCTGACCATTCGTTGTTTCCCTCCTTTATCTCTATGGTGAAGAACAGATATCGAGCTTTATTCCAATATAGTTTTTGCTCTATTATTTCCTCCATTACTTCTCTAACAGTATTATAATATTTTTGGATTTCAGAGCAGTCCCACCACGTGTGAAAAAGTACGTCTCCCTGCATTTATGCCAACATTTGTTGGAGGTGTTTTTCATAATGTGAGCCAACTGAGAGGGGGTCCTATACCGTTTTGAAATTATTTTCTTTTGTTTTTCTTAGATTCTTAGATGTTTAATTTTTTGAGTTTTATCGATCCAGGAGTTTATTAAGTTTTCATTAAAGTTTATATCCTGTTTCCAGGCCTCTACTAAAGTATGTTTTGTATTATAGGGTAAGGCTATTAGTTCCTTATATATTTCCCCTATAATGCCTTTCTCTTTTTCTATTTTCCAGCCTATTATTTTATCCAATAGGGCATCTGATGTTCCTTTCTTTTTTATTTCTTGTGCTCTTTGCGACAAGCCTAACCAAGCTATCCAATACTTTGAGCCACATTTGTCCTTTATCTTTTCCCATTTTTTAATATCTCCATTGGATTCTAAGAGGTCTCCTACCTTCTTTACTCCATTCTCTCTCAGGGACCTGATTAAATTCCTAAATGTTTTATCTTTATTTTCCAGGGTTTCTAGCGGAAAGGGATCTATTTTATTTATTTGTAATTTATTTTGCCATTTCTTCCAAACACGCAGTGTTGAGGGGAGGGGGCCATCTCTTAATTTTTTAAGCTCTTTTTTAATCAATTTTTTTCTCCCATAAATGAGCCCTTTTTCCAATCGTTTAATTCTTTCTCTAATTTCACCCATTTATTCCCCCTTCCAGTTCCAATTCTATTAATTTAGCCATATGGCATGCCTCATAATACAACTCCAGGGATCCCAGGCTTGACCTTTTGTAAGCCGCCCGAGTCCCTTCGGGGAGATGGAGATGGGGTATAAAAATAAAGTTGTTATTATTGCTCCTCAAAAATGCTTCACTTAGCTCTAGAAGTTTCCAACAGAGAAATCTATGTGTTTAAATGTGCCCCTGACCACTCAAAGAACTAGAACTACATCAATTGAAATATCTTAAGCGGAATAATTTATTATAGAAAGCCTTCAATTTTATCAACTAGGTGCCTGAACTAATCAAATGGAAAGCGAACCCTGCTCTTTTAAGTGATCTCCTCTATTGTTCCATTGCTAGCACTATCTGAAAGCTTTGGCCTCTAGCTTCAGATTGCACCGCCATCCTTAGTCAGGACTGCCACTCTGTAGGAAGAAATCCTTACCTGTTTGTGAGCTTCTGTAGTGCAAGCTTTTTTATAAGGCCTAATTTCTTCAGAGCCAAAACCTGGGATCCACATGTTCCATTGTCGCTCTATAGCAAAGAACAGGAAATGAAAGACAGTCGGGTGAAGGAGGTGACAGACAAGGAATTAAGTAAGGATAGAAGAGAGAGGGGGCCAGGGGACAGTTCCATCTTGTCTCCTGCATATGTCATCAGTTGGGGACCCCTCCTCCAGCACCAAAAGCTGCTCTGAGCCAGAGTGAAGAGAGAGGGGGCCAGGGGACAGTTCCACCTTGTCTCCTGTGCTATGCCAATAAAATAATATAATATAATGCAATATAATAAATTGCATATACATATAATATTTATAATATAATCTAATGCAATATAATACTAATAATATGATATTATAATTATATATTTTATATTACATGTAATATTACTAATAATATTACAATATAACGGTATAGTACAATATAGTAATATATAATACTGATATTGTACTATGCTAATAATATAATATATTGTATGTATATATATCTTGTAAGCAGCTCTGAGTCCCCTTCGGGGGAGAAGGGCGGCATATAAATGTCGCAAATAAATAAATACATATACAATAAACAAAGGGCCATTTCTAGAATGAGTTTTGTAAAAATAAGCCAGGCACCACTTCATGTGAAGTTTATGAGAAACTGAAAGAGAATGTTTTGGAAGAAGTTTGTATTTAATGACTGGTTTTCTTCTTTGGTTTTTTTGTGTGTGCATTTTCCAAATGTTTTGGAATTCAGAGTCATAGAACAGCAGAGTTGGAAGAGACCATACGGGCCATCCAGTCCATCCCCTTGCTGTGCAGAAAAAGCACAATCAAAGCACCCCCAACAGATGGCCATCCAGCCTGTTTAAAAGCCTCCCATGAAAGAGTTTCCTTCATACTCTGAGGCAGAGAATTCCACTGCTGAACAGTTTATATGAGATCAGGAAGTTCTTCCTGATGTTCAGGTGAAATCTCCTTTCCTGTCATTTGAAATCATGGCTCCACTTAGTCCTAGTTTATGACACCCTTTTAAATCTCTAAATATGGCTCTCATGTCTCCTTTCAACCTTCTCTTCTGCTGGCTAAACAGACCCAGCTCTTTAAGCTGCTCCACAATGTCTTTCTGTGCAGGACTGGATGGATGGGAATTGTAGGCCAAAAGATCTGAAGGACCAAACTTAAAAACCCCACCCAATATAAAGCGGTCTGTATCAGCCTTCATGATGTGGCCACAACTGATGCACTAATGCTCACCAAGATGGAGCTGGACATCTTTCACTTCCAAAGTGTTGGACTTGCGATGCCGCGCAAGCTGACAGGCAGCTGTCACCACACTTTCAATGAAGTCATCAGCAATCTGCAGCAGCATCTGTCAAGAACAACAAAGCGCCAATCACATTACTGATGTCTTTCAGGTTCACCAATATCCATCGATGAAATGATAATGTCAGAAGATTCTTATTCTTCCTAAAATAACCAGCAAAGCCAAGAAGAATGTGCACTGCCTGCAATAATACCATTTTCCTTCCCACAACAATCCTCAGATATTAGCTTTGCAAATTAATCCTGTATTTATTTTTCAGTGGCCAATCACTAACTTCAAGATATATAATGAAAGTAATCGTGAGCAATAACAGGCAGATGTATTTTGTATTTTATAGGCCATTTGATGACCTTGAAATACCGACAGATCAAGCTGAAGAAAATTAAGTGATTTTCCACTAAGAAAATGATGTACTAATATACTGTATTTACTCAAATCGAACACTCACCTTTTTTGGCTAAATCACCTTGCCAAAATGAGGACAAGCATTCAATTCACGTAATATGGCACTCTTAGTTACCAGCTAACCCCTTTCCAATGCCAGAGATACAGCTTAATGGTGTAACAGTAGAAAACAGCCACCTCTCCACCAAAGTCAACATCGACACCGAAATACACCACCGCCTGAGCTCTGCGAGTGCAGCATTTTTCCGAATGAAGCAGAGAGTATCCGTAGGGATACCAAGGTGTTTGTTTATAAAGCTATTGTCCTCCCAACCCTGCTATATGCCTGCGAAACGTGAACTGTCTACAGACGTCACATGCAGCTCCTGGAACGATTCCATCAGCGCTGCCTCCGGAAAATCTTGCAAATCTCTTGGGAAGACAAGCAGACAAACGTCAGCGTGCTGGAAGAAGCAAAGACCACCAGCATTGAAGCAATGGTCTCCGCCATCAACTCCGGCCACGTTGTCCGGATGCCCGACCACCGTCTCCCAAAGCAGTTGCTCTACTCCGAACTCAAGAATTGAAAACGGAATGTTGGTGGGCAGGAAAGAGATTTAAAGATGGGCTCAAAGCCAACTTTAAAAACTCTGGCATAGACACTGAGAACTGGGAAGCCCTGGCCCTTGAGCGCTACAGTTGGAGGTCAGCTGTGACCAGCAGTGCTGTAGAATTTGAAGAGGCACGAATGGAGGGCGAAAGAAACGTGCCAAGAGGAAGGCACATCAAGCCAACCCCGACTGAGACCGCCTTCCACCTGGAAACCAATGCCCTCACTGCGGGAGAAGATGCAGATCAAGAATAGGGCTCCACAGTCACCTACAGATCCACAAGAATACTGATCCTGGAAGACTATCCTACTCGGCCAACGAGGGATCGGCTAAGTAAGCAAGTGCTGAACGAAAGCAATAGGGGAAGTGTCAGGAGCTCCTCTTTGAGGGACTCATCTGTGGACAAGTCTACATAGGGACCACCAAACGCAGCGCCCAAACACGAATCAAGGAACATGAAAGGCACTGCAGACTACTTCAACCAGAGAAGTCAGCCATAGCAGAGCACCTGATGAACCAGCCTGGACACAGCATATTATTTGAGAACACAGAAATGCTGGACCACTCCAACAACCACCATGTCAGACTACACAGAGAAGCCATTGAAATCCACAAGCATGTGGACAATTTCAACAGAAAGGAGGAGACCATGAAAATGAACAAAATCTGGCTACCAGTATTAAAAAACTCTAAAATTACAACAGCAAAACAGCAGAGAGGAAACAACCAGGCACATCTTAACACCTCTCAACAGAACATTTTCCCAGGCTCAGCCAGGCCTTCAAATGCTAATGAAGGTGGTCAGCTGAAACATTCACACCTAGCTTCAGCAGAGAGCTCTCTGCCCCACCCCAGTCATTCCACAGATATATAAACCCATTTTCCTATTTCCAACAGACCTCACTACCTCTGAGGATGCTTGCCATAGATGCAGGCGAAATGTCAGGAGAAATGCCTCTAGAACATGGCCCTATAGCCCGAAAAAACCTACAAGAACCATCTGTAATATATATAGCTCAACACTATGTAATCCTGGGATTTGTAGTTTGGTGACGGGACCACACTATTTGGCACAGAAGACTCAAGGCCTCGTAAAACTTCAGCTCCATAGCATTGAATCAAGGCAGTTAAAGTTGATTCATTCTACAGCACAGATGCACCTCAAGGTTTTCTTTTTCACTGCTGAAAGCTTTGGTGTTTCAACACAATTGTTTTTAAAGAAGGAATTCTAAGCAACTGTAGTGGCCATATTACAAAGAACGCATCTTTTGCCACCACACATGACTTTCGCTAACAAATACTTTTATTTGTTTCAGGGTTTTGGAAATCGAGGTGTGCATTAGATTCACTGGCGCATTCGACTCGAGTAAATTTGGTAACCACAAATTAGTAGCACTGAAAAGGAAAATCATGGTGGTCTAATATTACTTGAGGAGTTGAGAGGTCCAACATCCTCAAGATTACGTACTTGTGGAACACCAATTTACCAAAGACCTACCTCCTCTACATCTTCATCTAATTGCTCATTTGGATCCACCTCTCTGACAAGATCCTGCAGCTTCTTCTTTGATAAGATCTGGGAGCAGCAGAAGTGTGTTGGAAAAAGAATACACATATTAGCACAAATGTACCAGTCATACTATTCTACATTCCCTTTTCTCCATAAAATGTAGATCTATAAGTTATGGAGCCCCTGGTGACGCAGTGGGTTAAACCACTGAGCTGCTGAACTAACAGAAAGGTTGCAGGTTTGAATCCAGGGAGTGGCGTGAGCTCCTGCTGTTAGCCCCAGCTTCTGCCAATCTAGCAGTTCAAAAACATGTGAATGCAAGTAGATAAATAGGTACTGCTCCAGCGTGAAGGTAACGGTGCTCCATGCAGTCATGCCAGCCACATGAACATGGAGGTGTCTATGGACAACGGCGGCTCTTCAGCTTAGAAATGGAAATGAGCACCAACCCCCAGAATTGGGCATGACTGGATTTAATGTCAGGGGAAAACCTTTACCTGACGTTTTATAAGTAACACATGCTTCCAACAAATTGCATGCAATATTACCCAGCAGTTTTGTTACAAATTTAAATTCTACAGACTTTCATACACATTAAAAAGAGGAAATACACCAGCTTCAACTGTAATTGAAGTAATAATAATAATAATAATAATAATAACAATAATAATAATAATAATAATAATAATAATAATACTTTATTTATATACTGCTCCATCTCCCCGAGGGGACTCAGAGCGGTTCCCAAGTAACATCACAAAACATACAGAGTAAAAACAACAAACCATAAGATTAACAACAAAATAGAAGCATAAAAATTGTTGCCATAACACACATATATTAAAAGTAATCCTGCCTGTTCAAGGCAATTAAAAAATTAAAAGGCCGGGACAAGATTTGCGCAAGCCCAAAAATTCTAGGGGGGCCGGGAATTAAGTGCAATGCTATGGCAGGCAACAATAATATTAAGAACAGGTCTGTGGCTGTCCATTCCAGGGCCGATTAGAGGAAAGAATCTGGGTAATTGGTAGGAAGAATAAGGCCATATTGGACAATGTGTAGGGCTGAGTTAGAACTGGTCATTTTCAAAGGCTTGTTGAAACCACCAGGTCTTCAAGCTCTTACGAAAGAAGGGGAGGGATGGGGCCTGTCTTATTTCCCTTGGAAGGGCATTCCAGAGATGGGGGGGGGGCACCACTGAGAAGGCCCTCTCTCTCGTCCCCACGAGAGGACTGAGAGGAGAGCCTCCCCAGAAGATCTTAGAGCTCGTGCCGGCTCATAGAAGGAGATGCGATCGCGGAGATAGGCAGGGCCCGAACCATTTAGGGCTTTATAGGTCATGGCCTGCACCTTGTAATATTTATAGTTTGTTTTCATTTCAGCATTGAATGTTTGCTGTATTTATATTGTGCTTAGCCCTGGGTCCCCTTCTGGGTGAAAAGGGTGGAGTATACATGCTTTAAATAATAAAATAAATAAATGTATTTGAAATTTCTTGTGTTAGTATATTCTTTTCTGCAAAGCAGCAGTACATATAAATGAAAAGGCAGCAATTTAACATCATTGTACAACGAAACAATTGGCAAAGGAAACAGCATTTACATCTATTTTTATGAAGATACTGCCAGTCCTGGAAGAATGCTACTTTGAGGCAGCTTTAAGTAAGCTAACTGAGGTCCTCACAGTGACAATTCAGAAAGGATCAATTACACTGTCATTAAAATTAATCAAATGTCTCTAATAAGTAAGAAAAGCTTTTTGTTTGAAATAATAATAAGCTCTCTTCTGAAACAACGATATGGCCATGATGAATTTTACAGTGCAAAATACCGGGGAAAAGTTTCCTTGAAAGTCTCAGGCTCACTCAAAAACCACCCATCAATACTGTTTTTCAACCTTCATGGGCTTTTCAAGGATACTGCACAATCACCTGGTTGCTTTCAGGGCTGAGGCGTCCCCCGCTGCTAGGGGTTCCTGGCATCTTGGCCACTGTGGTGTTGTTTGCCATGGAACTATGGGGAGGAGTACTGGCTGGTTCTGGTTTGATAGAGGAGAAGTTGGACAAATTGATCAGGGTAGATGGTCCAAACTGGTTCATAATCTGTTGAGCTTTAGCTTTCAGGTCATAGAGCTTGTCAAGATCTTGCTTCTTTCTGGGGTTATGTGGGCCTAAACCAATCAGCTGGAGGAAGAAACAAAGTCTCAGGGTTAGCATAGCAGGGAACAGGTTCATGTTTAAAATACAAGGTTGACATTTGCTCTCCTCTAAAATTCCAGGAACTCTCCTATCCTCCAAGAATTCTCAAAGATGGTTGACGAAGACTCTGAGATTACATTTATTTATTTATTTACCTTATTTATACTCACCTTTCTCTACCCAAGAGGGACTCAAGGCAGCTTATAAGTGGCACCTACACAGTGCCTCAAAACATACAATATTAATTGAAAAATAAATGGGATTAAAATTACTAACATATTAAACATAATTAAAATGCATTCAGTGTTAATAACATGCTGTCCTGGGATCAGAGTCCAAGGCCATTTCATCATCAATTGCACATATTCCACATTAAAATTACTGCACTGCACTATTTTTCAAAAGTCTGCTCCCAGAGCCAGGTTTCTACTCTCCTTCTGGAAACTAGGAGGTGGGGGGCTGATCTAATATTGCTAGGGAGGGAGTTCCACAACTGAAGGGACCACCACTGAGAAGGCCCTGTCTCTCATCACCACCAGCCACGCTTACGAGGAAGGGCCTCCCAAATGAACTTAGTCTCCGAGCTGGCGTAACAAGGGGGTTGCGTGCTCCCTGAACGCTGCTCTGGAGAACAACCTGGATGCCGCACATTGGACCATTTGAAGCTTCCAAACAGTCTTCAAAGGTAATCCCATGCAGAGCGCATTACAGTAATCTATGCGGAATGTAACCAGAGCTTGGACCACCGTGACCAAGTCAGACTTCCCAATATGAAATTCTTTCAGTACTCTTGGATGCAGCTCTAAGGGGCCCTCAAGAGTTACATTAATTTAGAATAGCTGGGTATCATGGGCTGCACGACTTGTTCCATTTTCACCAGTTAGGGCACTGCTTTCCTTTTGGGAAATCTCAGCCAGGGTGGCAGGCAAGGGAACAAAAAGGAATTCTCTTACTATTACTTTAAGGCTGTTGGAACAAAACAACAGCTTTGTCTTCTGTTCCAAGGGGAAGGTTTATCTCTCTCACTTAGGGTAGAAGAGAAGATTAATGAGAAGTCTTAGCCCTTAAAAGAAGCAATTTTCCCACCTGAGCAAGTGTTTTATAAGTGCTTGATGAATATTACATAACCCAGTATGTTCATGCCTTCTATGCCACTCTAGTTTTCTATGCAATTTCACCCAACACATCCATGACATGAATACAGACTCAAATCATGATGAATACATACTACCAAGTGGTTAAGAGGTCAGTAAGATTGTGTTACAGAGTAGATTGTCATGTTAGTATCAGTCCACAAAACATGTTTCATTTCACTTAATAATCATGCATTACTCAACACACTGGCAGAAATACAGGATAAGAGCCAGCGTAATGTAGTGGTATGAGTGTTGGATTCAGATGCTGCGAGATCAGGGTTTGAACCCCCACTCAGCTATGGAAGAACCCACTGGGCGACCTTGCGTAATTCACAAATGAAGGCAAAGGCAGATCCCTCCTGAAAAAAATTCTGACAAAAAAAAAACCTGTGGTAGGCTTGCCTTAGGGTAGAGATAATTCAGAAATTACTTGCAGGGACAACACAAAACCAAAAGCTGGGAGGGGAGGGAAGATCCTCACCTAGAATTATAAATATTTCTAAAACAATCAAACCTACATTCTAAAGCATATTTAGAACTGAGAAAAGTCTGCTCTGAGGGAAAGAAAAACATGTCCAGATAAGGCAATGGTGTAAAACTGGACCAACTAGTTAACACAGCAACTACTATTGCCAGTGCCTCATCTGGACAAGAACAGCAGTCCAGTCTATGTAGAAGCCATGGCCCTTCATCCCTTGGTGGTTATTGTTATCTGCAGTTACATCTATAGGGAGAAAAGGGCACTCGCTTGGATTCGTTCTAGGTGAACTATGCCTATCATATTAAAATCAATGAAACTTTAGTTACTGCTAACTAACTTAATTCCACCGATGTGTTGGACATTACATGCAATTAACTGAGTCAGATGCAGGATGCTGGGATAGGGAATGTCCAGCCCTCTAGATATTACTGGACTTCAGCTCCCAGAAGCCTATATTTTATGGTCAACTGTCAAATATTATAGGAATTGCAATTTACCACATGTTCCCTAGACCTAGTACACATGATTATCAGTGCCTTCCTCTTTACCTAGCTGGTAGGTGCTCAGAAAGCCAGTTCCAATTAATACATGATATAGGATGGTGATACAGGAGTGTAGTGGGTTTGACTGGAGACAAAGGTTCAAATTTCCACGTGAACAGGTAAACCCACTGGGTGACCATAGGCAAATCATATTCTATCAGCTTCAGAAGAAGGCAAAGGCAACCTCTCTGAACAGATCTTGACAAGAAAAATCCTAGGGCTGTCAGGACTAATGCTTTAGAAAAATGCAAATTGATATTTCCTAGAAGAGAACTAGCCTAAATTTTAGTACTAGCTCTAAAAGGCATCTTCTTGACCTGACCCTGCCAATGTTTCTCTTGTGTCAAGCTGTAAGGAGAACATATTCACTAACCACCTATACATGTCTTTGCAAAAGAATGTTCAAATCTTAATGAGAATAGGTATATATATCCTTACAAATATTTCTCACATCACCACACTAGATTCTCAGCATACCGACAAAATTAGCAATACATTCTGAAGTTTTTTACCATAATGCTAACATGCCATGCCATTGTGAATTCTAACCAGGTTACTTACAGCTATTTGAGTATCTAGATCTTTAATTACATCAGAAACTGCTGTGGGACCATTGAATGGAGAAGCCATTTCCCCCAAAAAAACGTTTCTGAAAGTAAACAGTCAGGGTTAACCTACAGATGGGCTCTGCTCGTGTTGAAAATGATTATAAAGCCCAGCAGACAGAAAGCCATCATAACATTCTGCTTTCTCTAGTTAGCATGGCTTTGTCTAGACAACTAATGTGGTGGTTCTCAACAGTGGTTCTCAACCTGTGGTCCGTGGGCCACCAGTGGTCCCCAAGAACTAAAATATGGTCCGCGGCCTCACTGTTACTATACGATTGCAACGAGAGTGACTGGTCTCACAAAATCCTCTCATAGTGCCAAGGCAATTGGGATGTTGGGAGGAAAGAGGCTGACTACACACGAAAGGCATGACAACAAGGCATGACTGCTGCTTCTCCTCCTCCACTTCCCTCCCCCTGAGTGAAGCAGGGCGCCTTGTTGCCTTCGTTTTTAGGCCTGCTATTGGGGTTATTTGGGGTGATGATTTGGAAAATTGCGTTGTTTATTTATTTATTTACAGTATTTGTATACTGCCTTTCTCACCCCGAGCTCTAAATGATTAAATATAGTTTTCTGTGGGCGAGCAGATGGTGACTATTGGATGGCATATGTTCTGTATCAGAAACTAGAGCTGATGTGGTCTATCCAATGCAATTTTCTGAATCAGCACCCCAAATAACCAAACCGAATCTAAAGTTGACCAAAAACTGATTCATAACCCTTTTGGTACTAGTGTTGGAGAGCGGTCCCTGGTCAAAGTGGTCCTTGGTCAAAAAAAAAAAGGTTGGGAACCATTGTTTAAAGGAAGTTCATTTTATTTCTTGTCCACTTTTTTTCCCATTAGCAGAAAAAAATTATTTAGGCAGAAGCAATAAAATAAAAGGAACCACTGTCAGATGAATCCATAAATGATTGGAAAACCATGACCATGCTCAAAGAGTAGCCATCAATAGATGCACTTTAGATTGGAGGGAAGTCCTACGTCAGTGGTTCTCAACCTGTGTCCCCCCCACAGGTGTTTTGGCCTACAACTCCCAGAAATCCCAGCCACTTTACCAGCTGTTAGGATTTCTAGGAGTTGAAGGCCAAAGCATCTGAAGATCCACAGACTGAGAACCACTGTCCTAAGTGAAATGCCACAGGATTCTATTGGGATAATTGTGGGTCATAAACTGAAAATAACCCAGCAGTGGGATGCTGCACAAAGGAGGACAAGACACTTTGAGGGATATCAATAAACATAATAATAATCTTCTTAGTTTAACTGCTAAGATTTTATCATGTGGGAAATGTGTGTGATATGCTGTATTATGTTTATTTTAGTCTTAACTTGCGTTATTTTTGGCTAGTCTTATATAGTCTTGTAAGTTCACATGGAGGTTGTTTTATTTATTGACTCTGCTTTGATCTATGGCAGTGTTTCTCAACCTTTCTAATTCTGCGACTCCTTAATACAGTTCCTCATGTTGTGGTGACCCCAACTATAAAGTTATTTTGTTGCTACTTCATAGCTGTAATTTTGCTGCTGTTATGAATCAGAATGCAAATATCTGATAGGCAGGATATGTTTTCATTCATCGGACCAAATTTGCCATAAATACTCAATAGGCTCAAACCTGAATAATGGTGGGGTTTTGCCATTTGGCAATTGTAGTTGCTAGGATTTATAGTTCACCTACAATCAAAGAGCACTGTGAAGTCCACAAACAGAACTCCCATGTCCAACAGAAAATACCAGAAGGGTTTGGTGGACATTGAACTTGAGTTTTGGAGTTGTAGTTCACCTACATCCAGAGAGCACTGTGGACTCAAACAATGATAGATTTGGACCAAACTTGGCACGACTACTCAATATGCCCAAATGTGAACAGTGGTGTTTGGGGGAAAATAGTCTTCACATTTGGGAGTTGTAGTTGCTGGGATTTATAGTTCACCTACTATCAAAGAGCCTTCTGAACTCCACCAATGATGGAATTGAACCAAACTTAGCAAACTTGGCTCTCATGATCAACAGAAAATACTGGGAGGGTTTGGTGGGCATTGTGAGTTTAGGAGTTGTAGTTCACCTACATCCAGAGAGCACTGTGCACTCAAACAATGATGGATCTGGACCAAACTGCTCTCGGCTGTGATTACTCCTGTCTGCTTCATTGCTCCGGTGACTGATTGCCCAGATGCCCTCTTGCCACTCTTGTGAATCTCCATGGTGGTGTGTGGAGGCTGATTCTTTTGGAGGCTTATCGACATCTACCATCACTGCTGGGTTCCCTATAGGCACTCTACACCTACCTCTGTATTCAGAACTGTCTTCCATAATAATAATAATAATAATAATAATAATAATAATAATAATAATAATTTATTTGTATCCCGCTACCATCTCCCCAAGGGACTCAGTGTGGCTTACATGAGGCCAAGCCCACAGTACATCAATAAACAAAAACAACAACAAAACTATCAAAGCAATACTATTAATATAAATCACATAACAACCCCCCCCCCCCCAATAAATCAACAGTAACACACAAGCATTTAAAACCAATGGCCGGACCAAATGTAATAGATTAAAATTAAAAATAGTGCTGGACATGGACAAGGTAGGATATAACTCGGTAGAATTTTCAAGGAGAGATGAAGGAATGCAATCAGTCCTAAATCAATGGTAAAGTGCATTTTGAGGGCATATTGCTGAGGGTTTTCCTTATTCTGGGAAGGCACACTGGAACAACCACATTTTCAGGCTCCTCCTAAAGACTGCCAGAGTTGGGGCATGTCTGATGTCCTTGAGAAGTGAGCTCCAGAGTAGGGGGGGGCACCACCGAGAAGGCCCTCTCCCTCGTCCCCACCAATCGCACTTGCGAAGGAGGTGGGAGTGCGAGCAGGGCCTCTCCAGATTATCAAAGAGATTGTGTAGGTTCGTACACAGAAATGTGGTCACGCAGATAGGCGGGTCCCAAACCGTTCAGGGCTTTGTAGGTAAGAACCTGCACCTTGAATTGGGACCAGAAAATGAACGGCAGCCAGTGGAGCTCCTTAAACAGGAGGGTTGTCCCTAACCCTCAACATCCACCACCTTTGATGACAAGTAGGAAGACTGGTCTATGGACCTGGACTACTTTGGGAGGGTGCCTTCACCTTGCACTTATTTTTTTATACTACCAATCTAATAACTTGTACAAATAACTTGTAAGCCACTCTGAGTCCCCTTCGGGGTGAGAAGGGTGGCATATAAATGTCATAAATAAATAAACTTGGCACGAACACTAAATATGCCCAAATGTGAACACTGGTGGACTTTGGGGAAAATAGACCTTGACATTTGGGAGTTGTGGTTGCTGGGATTTATAGTTCACCTACAATCAAAGAGCATTCTGAACCTCACCAACGATAGAATTGTGCCAAACTTCCGACCACAGAACCCCCATGACCAAAATAAAATACTGTATTTTCTGGTGGTCTTTGGCGACCCATCTGACACCCCCTCGCAACCCCCCTCCCAGGGGTCCCGACCTCCAGGTTCAGAAACGCTGCTCTCTGGTTTGTCTGTTTTGGCACCGAATGTTTGTCATGTTGCCACGTTGTTGGCAACCTCCCTGAGGCCCCTCTGGGTGAATACTAATCCTTAGGGTTTGTCAAGGAAGGCCTTCCACTCACCCGGCCATGACTCCGCTCTCGTCCTCCGGCGCTTTCTATCCTCAGCCTTGTCTTCGCGGGCAAACACTTCCGGGGTTGCAACCGCGCCGCCCGGAAACGCGCGCACGCAGGGCTAGCCAATGAGGGCACTTCTTTCACGCATGCGTACTTCCCCTCCCTGCCCTGGCTCCTTTCGCAGCGCCCGCTCTGAAACCTTTCTTATGCGCGTGACGTCAACGCCATTCTATCGCCATTCTATCGCCCTTCTCTCGCCCCAGCATGCCATGCGGTTATTTGCGTGTCGTTTTCGAAAAAAGCGAATGTAATTTCCCTTCTATCCTAGCCCCGAGGAGTCAGGCGAAAGGGTATGTGTTGCAATAATACAAAAGCACTTATCACATGCAGTGGATTAGGGGTGTAACGATGGATTGCTCGCTGTGACCTACAGAGGCGTCTCGGATGGCTTGGTTGCCCGCTTGTGGCAGCACGCGTTTAAAAAGGGCTTCTGCCGTGAGTGGCACGTGGAGAGGAGGGCTGCGGCCAATCTTTCCGTGCGGAATCGCTATCAAGAGATTTCGGAAGCATAATTTTTGGAAACGGGGTAGCTGGTAATCGCTTGTTCGGGCTCCCCTGAAAAGAAGTGAAAGGCAGAAAGTGGTAGGTGAACTAGGTCAGTGTTTTTCAATCTGGGGATTGGGACCCCTGGATGGGGGGCATCAGAGGTCACCAAAGACCATCAGAAAACATAGTGTTGTTTTTGTTGGTCATAGGCGTTCTACGTGGGAAGTTTAGCCAATTTTATCGATGGTGGAGTTCAGAACGCACTAATTGCAGGTGAACTATAAACTCCCAAATGTCAAGGTCTATTTTCCCCAAACTCCACCAGTTTGGCTATTTTGAGTATTTGTGCCAAGTTTGGTTCAATTCCTTCATTGATGGAGTTCACAGTGCTCTCTGGATGTAGGTGAACTACAACTCCCAAACTCAAGGTCAATGCCCATCAAACCTTTCCAGTATTTTCTGTTGGTCGTTGGAGTACTGTGTGCCAAATTTGGTTCAGTTCCATCGTTGGTAGAGTTCAGAATGCTCTTTGATTGCAGATGAACTATAAATCCCAGCAACTACAACTCCCAAATGACAAAATAAATCCCTCCCCAATCCCACCAGTATTCAAATTTGGGTATTTGTGCCACATCTTGCATATCAGATATTTAAATTATCTTTCATAACAGTAGCAAAACTACAGTTATGAAGGAGCAACAAAAGTCATGTTATGTTTGGGGGTCACCACAACATGAGGAACTGTATTAAGGGGTCACGGCATTAGGAAGGTTGAGAAACACTGGGTTAGATTATATGTTGTTGTTTATTCGTTCAGTCGTTTCCTCATGGACCAGCCCATGCCAGAGCTCCCTGTCAGCCGTCACCACCCTCAGCTCTTTCAGGGTCAAGCCAGCCACTTCGAGAATACCATCCATCCATCTAGCCCTTGGTTGGCCCCTCTTCCTTCTTCCTTCCATTTTCCCCAGCATCATTGTCTTCTCTAAGCTTTCCTGTCTTATTATGTGGCCAAAGTACTTCATCTTGGCCTCTACTATCCTTCCCTCCAATGAGCAGTCAGGCTGGTTGGATCTTTTTGCGGTCCAAGGCACTCTCAGAACCTTCCTCCAACACCACAGTTCAAAAGCATCTACCGTATCTTCCTTCACTCAGCCTTCCCTATGCTCCAGCTCTCACATCCATAGGTTACTATGGGGAATACCGTTGTTTAACTTACTTACTTGCTTACGCAATGAGTCGCCCTTGGGCTGAGAATTGCGGTATATAAGCGTAGTAAATAAATAAATAAATAAATACTTAGGCGATCCCTTGTAATCTGAGGATGATGGTCCTCCAAGTTCGGTGTCCTGGGGGTGGGTTCGTAGGTGGCTGTGGAGCCCTATTCTTGACCTGCATCTTCTCCCGCAGTGAGGGCATTGGTTTCCAGGTGGGAGGCGGTCTCGGTCGGGGTTGGTTTGATGCGCCTTCCTCTTGGCACATTTCTCTCTTTCACCCTCCATTTGTGCCTCTTCAAATTCTGCAGCACTGCTGGTCACAGCTGACCTCCAGCTGGAGTGCTCAAGGACCAGGGCTTCCCAGTTCTCAGTGTCTATGCCAGAGTTTTTAAGGTTGGCTTTGAGGCCATCTTTAAATCTCTTTTCCTGTCCACCAACATTCCATTTTCCGTTCTTGAGTTCGGAGTAGATCAACTGCTTTGGGAGATGGTGGTCAAGCATCCAGACAACATGGCCGGTCCAGCGGAGTTGATGGCGGAGGACCATTGCTTTGATGCTGGTGGTCTTCGCTTCTTCCAGCACGCTGATGTTTGTCCGCCTGTCTTCCCAAGAGATTTGCAGGATTTTCCGGAGGCAGTGCTGATGGAATCGTTCCAGAAGTTGCATGTGACGCCTGTAGACAGTTCACGTTTTGCAGGCATATAGCAGGGTTGGGAGGACAATAGCTTTATAGACGAGCACCTTGGTATACGTACGGATGTCCCGGTCCTCAAACACTCTCTGCTTCATTCGGAAAAATGCTGCACTCGCAGAGCTCAGGCGGTGTTGTATTTTGGTGTCGATGTTGACTTTGGTGGAGAGGTGGCTGGCAAGGTAGCGGAAATGATCAACATTTTCTAATGTTACACCATTAAGCTGTATCGCTGGCATTGGAGAGGGGTTGGCTGGTGATTGCTGGAACAGCACTTTGGTTTTCACGATGTTCAATGACAGGCTGAGCTTCTCATATACTTCTGTGAAAGTGTTTAGAGTGGCTTGTAGATCTTCTTCTGAATGCACACAGACGACATCATCAGCATACTGGAGTTCTATAACAGATGTTGTTGTAACCTTGGTTCTGGCTTTCAGTCTGTTGAGGTTAAACAGCTTGCCATCTGTTTGATAGATGATTTCCACTCCGCTGGGACATGGTGAACAAGGTAATACATCAACAAGGTGAAGTATTATAGCGATGAAGATGGAGAATAAAGTTGGGGCAATAACACATCCCTGTTTGACACCTGATTCCACCTTAAATGGGTCACTTTGGGAGCCATTGCTGTCCAAAACTGTTGCCATCATGTCATCATGGAGGAGCCTCAGATGCTCACAAATTTGTTAGGGCACCCAATTTTTTGGAGGATGGTCCAGAGAGCGCTGCGATTCACTGTGTCGAATGCCTTTGCAAGGTCTATGAACGCCATGTACAGAGGTTGATTTTGTTCCCTGCATTTTTCTTGGAGCTGTCATGCAGTAAAGATCATGTCCACGGTTCCCCTGGAGGAGCGGAAGCCATTCTGGGTTTCTGGGAGGGTGTCTTCTGAGAGGGGCAGAAGGCGGTTTGCAAGGATTCTTGCGAAGATTTTCCCAGCGGAGGTTAGAAGGGAGATACCTCGATAGTTTCCGCAGTCTGTTCTTTCCCCCTTTTTGAAGAGGGTGATGATGGCAGGTCCTCCCTCTTTAAAGATTTCAGCAGGGATCCCATCAGGACCACTGGCTTTGTTATGTTTTTGTTGGCTGATGGCATTGCTGACTTCTTCCAAAATAGGCAGTGCTGCAAGCTCATCTCTAGTTTGTTGTTGTGGGATTTGTGAGAGAACCTCTTCGGCCACATTGGAGCTGCGGTTCAGGAGGCTTTGGTAGTGTTCTTTCAAACGTAATGCAATTGATTTTTGGTCCTTCAGGAGTTTGGTTCCATCTGATGAGCAGAGAGGCTGTATGCCATGGTTTCTTGGTCCATAGATGACCTTTGTGGCTTTGAAAAATCCCTGAGCATCATGGGTATTTGCCAGGTGTTGGATTTCTTCAGCCTTCTTTGTCCACCAGATGTTCTTGAGTTCTCTGGTCCTTCTTTGGACCTCAGCTTTTGCGCTGGCGTAGATCTTTTTCTTAGCAGCACAGTTGATGTCTCTCTGCCATGTTTGGAAGGCTTTCCTTTTCTTGTCAATTAGCTGTTGGATCTCGTTGTCATTTTCGTCAAACCAATCTTGATGTTTCTTGGTTTGATACCCAATAGTTTCTTCGCATACTGTGATGATGAAGGTCTTCAGTTTGTGCCAGTGTTCCTCAACATTTTCGGAGTGTTCTTTGGGTAGATGGTTCTTGAGTTCTGTTTGGAGAAGGGCTCATCTGGAGGGCTCCTGAAGGGCTTGGGTGTTCATTTTGCGCCTTGTCTTTCTTCCTTGGAGTCTGCACTTGGGGGCGATCTTGATGGCCATCATGGATCAGATTAGCCTGTGGTCTGTCCAGCAGTCGTCAGCACCTATCATGGTTCTTGTGAGGAGCACGTCACGGCGGTTTCTGGCACATGTGATTACATAGTCTAAGAGGTGCCAATGCTTTGACCGGGTGTGTGTGTGTGTGTGTGTGTGCTTCCATGATGTCTTGAACTTGTTTTTTTGGCGGAAGAGTGTGCTGGTGATGACAAGGTTGTGTTCTGCACATTTGGTGAGAAGCAGGATGCCATTCGAGTTGCTTTTTCCAACCCCGTCTTTTCCTATGGTCCCTGGCCACAGGTTGAAGTCTCGCTCGACTCTTGCATTAAAGTCCCCCAGGAGGATGATTTTGTCCTCCTTAGGTATCTCTGATAGGACGGTGTACAGCTGACAGTAAACTTTTTCCTTGATGTCTTCATCAGCATCTAGTGTCGGTGCATAGACACTTATGATGGTTGCCTGTTGGTTTTTGGCAAGGTCAATTCGGAGGGTTGAGTCGTTCATTGATGCCAGTGGATGATTCGGTCAGATGTTTCACCATATCATTTCTGATAGCAAAGCCAACTCTGTGCATTCTTTCGTCTTCTTCGGGCAATCCCTTCCAGAAGAAGGTGTAGCCTCCTTTTTCTTCCTTCAGCTGTCCCTCTCCTGCTCTCCGGGTCTCCTGAAGGGCTGCTATGTCGATGTTAAAGCGCCCCAACTCCCTTGCAATGATGGCAGTTCTGCGTTCGGGGCATTCACTGTCAGTGTTGTCCATCAGTGTCTGTACATTCCATGTACCAAAGTTCTTTTTTTTTTTGGCCGCAGGTAGGTGACCCCACTGGACGTGGCAGTCCAGTCAGGGATAAGAGAGGCAGACTATGTTTAGGGCACCTTTTCTACCCCCTCCCCGTGTGGGGTGAGCAGAGTGGATCCTCAAAAGGGCTGCTCAGTCGTGGATACAGCTGCCGAACTACTCAACTGCCTCGGACCTTGAAGTAGAACGACTGAGTCTGTACCCAGACGGAAGAAGATGCAGAGCAAGAATAGGGCTCCACAGCCACATACGGACCCACAAGAATATTGGAAGACAATCATCCTCGGAAAGCGAGGGATCGCCTAAGTAAGTAAGTAAGTGTATTTCTAGGTACAAAGATTACTGCAGATGCAGACTGCAGCCAGGAAATCAGAAGACACTTACTTCTTATATACATACAGTATTATTAGTAGGTAAATGTTTTCCCCTGACATTAAGCCTAGTCGTGTCTGACTCTGAGGGTTGGTGCTCATCTCCATTTCTAAGCCGAAGAGCCAGCGTTGTCTGTAAACACCTCCAAGGTCATGTGGCCAGCATGACTGCATGGAGTGCCGTTACCTTCCCGCCGGAGCGGTACCTATTGATCTACTCACATTTGCATGTTTTCGAACTGCTAAGTTGGCAGAAGCTCACGCCACTCGCCGGATTTGAACCTGCGACCTTTTGGTCAACAAGCTTAGCAGCTCAGTGGTTTAACTCACTGCTCCACCGGGTGCTCCCTATTATATTATTAGCATAGTACAATATCAGTATTATATATTGTACTATACCATTATATTGTAATATTATTAGTAATATTACATGTAATATAAAGTATATAATTACTGTCAGCTCCAGCTTCCCATATGGGGACATGAGGGAAGCCTCCCACAAAGATGGTAAAACATCAAAACATCTGGGTAATGTCCCCTGGGCAACGTCCTTGAAGACAGCCAATTCTCTCACGCCAGAAGCGACTTGTAGTTTCTCAAGTCACTCCTGACACCAAATAAACCAAACAAACCTGCAAGACCAACCATTTAGAGTTGGAAAAGCCATCAATGATTTGAGTTAAGCCATGGTTTTAAAGTTTGGAAATACCTAGAAGCAACCACTCCTATCTGAGGAAATTACAAGAACCTCCTCCTCCCATCCCAAGAAATCAAAGTATGTAGACTAACAAAAGCAAATTAATAATTTGCTCTGCTTTCATGACACATCCAAGATCGACTTCATTCTACAGACAGCCTTTGTTTACAAAAACAAACTTTTCTTAAGAAATAAATCAGACAAAACCTTTAATGATAGCTAACATATGGTTTCCTTTTGAGCAACATGATACTTGCAAACGTTTTCTCAAACCCAGTCACCCTACATTTGAATCAGAACACAAAATTCACTAGGACAAATGAACATGCAAAACAAAAACAAAAAAAGCAGATTTATTAGTGATACTGGGTGGGCAAGAAGAAATTAAGTAAAGGGTTTTTTTTTATCTGTTCTACAAAAAATGTAATAAGAAAATGTGAGGAGAATGAATGACTGGAGTCTAGCTGTTATTATTACATAGGACATATATAATCTGGTGTTAGGGAATACATACAATCTGATAGGGAATGTCTCACTGTTTAAACTGGAGCCCCCGGTAGCACAGTGGGTTAAACCCCTGTACCGGCAGAACCGACAGGTCACAAGTTTGAATCCGGGGAGGGTGTGGATGAACTCCCTCTATCAGCTCCAGCTCCTCATGCGGGGACATGAGAGAAGCCTCCCACAAGGATGATAAAACATCAAAACATCTGGGCGTCCCCTGGGCAACATCCTTGCAGACGGCCAATTCTCTCACACCAGAAGCGACTTGCAGTTTCTCAAGTCGCTCCTGACACGACAAATAAAAATTGTTTAAACCAGCCATAGGCCAACTTCAGCCCTCAGGGTATTTTGGACTGCAACTCCCACAATTACTAACAGCCTACCGGCTGTCCAAAACACCTCGAGGGAGGGCCCAAGTTGGCTCATGCCTGGTCTAAGAGAACAACTATTTTTTAAAAATTCCAAAAAAATGAAGGGATTGGTGAAATGTTCTGAAAGTTGAGTGGCTTGCAGTTGTAAACATGGGACTATACTTGAGGTGAGTTTCATGCCAATAGGCCTAAAAACGACTGAGAAATGAGCATCTAAGTTTCCCCATTGGTGGCAATGGGCCAAATCTTTCCTGTATGAAAACGGGAACCTAAATTTGGGAACTTCTCTAAAAATGGAATGAGGGTGGGAAGCCAGAAACCGGGCATCGAAAGCGCAACAAGCTTTTTGCCAAATTGCACACCCTTGCTGGGAAGGAGTTGTGTTGTGACACCTGAAGGTCAACTATTTGAATCCGTGCAGCAGGGTGAGCTCCTGTCTGTCAGCTCCAGCTTCCCATGCAGGAACATTAGAAGCTTCCCACAGGTGGTAAAACATCTGGGCATTCCCTGGGCAACATCCTTGCAAACAGCCAATTCTCACACACCAGAAGTGACTTGCAGTATATTCTCAAGTCGCTCCTGACACGATAAACCTGGGAAGTTGTTGTTGCTGTCACTCGCATCTACCAAATGGTCAGCCTATTGGAGAGTAGAAGACATTTGTAACCCAGGAAAAGGGTTCTTTGGGTGTTGATCACAAGGGCTCATGATAGAAGCATGCATGGCGAGGGTCTCTGTGCTCGTAGGAGGGGCCTTATGATGATGGTGCCACTTGGGAGTCATTTCTCAGTTGGAGAGTCTGGTAACCAAAATGATCCTCATAAGGGGAGACAGTCTTTCCTGCAAGCCAACCTCAACCATTTTGCTGTCCAGCTTCGCTGGCCACTTGGAGTGCCTCTGGTGTCGCTGTGAGAAGGTCCTCCATTGTGCATGTGGCAGGGCTCTGTTTGGATTGTAGTAGGTGGTCTGTGGTTTGCTCTTCTCCACACTTGCAAGTCATGGACTCCACTTTGTAGCACCATTTCTTAAGATTGGCTCTGCATCTCTGCCAGAGTGCAATCTCTTCAGTGCCTTCCAGGTTGCCCAGTCTTTTGTGTGCCTGGGGGGAGTCTCTCATCTGGTCTCAGCCATGGATTGAGGTTCTGGATTTCAGCCTGCCACTTTTGGACTCTCGCTTGCTGAGATGTTCCTGCAATTATCTCTGTTGATCTTGGGAATCTGTTTCTTGATTTAAGGTGTTGGCGGTCTGGCTGATATCTGAACAGAGGCTGGGCTGGAGATGTCACTGCCTTCATCCTTTCATTATTGGCTGCTACTTTTCGGCGGATGTCAGGTGGTGCAATACTGGCTAAACAGTATAATTTCTCCAGCGGTGTGGGGCGTAGACATCCTGTGATAATGTGGCATGTCTCATTGAGATCCACATTCACTGTTTTAGTGTGGTAAGATGTGTTCCACACTGGACATGTGTATTCAGCAGCAGAGTAACAAAGTGCAAGTGCAGATGTCTTCACTGCATCTGGTTGTGATCCCCAGGTTGTGCCAGTCAGCTTTCGTACGATATTGTTTCTAGCTTCTCTGTTGACATCGGGACATGGAAGGCATGCTGCATCTGGACCTCTGGATGCAGCGGAGTCAGACTTTTGGAAGAGGGAATCGCTTTTACAGCCAATGTATTCGTTCTGCAAGTGTCCCTTCCTGGCTGAGTGGCCTGCTCAAGGAATGGAGTGGCATATTCGGGTTCTGGCGGCAAAGGCTCAGCGTATTCATGATACTTGCTGGGAACGTCATAATGATTGACAAACAAAGGGAGTGTGTAACTTTCATCCAAGGCAGGTTTAAATGTCGACGGAGCTGTCTGGCTACTGGGACTGACTTGGACCACACCCGGCTCGGCATATTCTGTAAAAGGAAATGCGGGAAGAATAATTCAAAATGATATAGAAAACTGCCTATCTGTGAACTGGTTTGGGAAAGTTTGAGGTTTTTTTGGGGACTATAATTCTAAAAACCACCAGGCATAGTTGCTGGCCTTCAAGGATTCTAGTGTTTTGGGTTTTTTTTTAGCAAAGTAAAGAAAAAGTAAAAGCTTTAATGTACTACTTAAATAATAATAATAATAAATATTATTATATTTATTTATACACCGCTTTATCTCTCCTGAAGGAGGCTCAAAGTGACTTAAGATAAAAACATCAGCATAACAATTTAAAATACACATTATTATTATTATTATTATTATTATTATTATTATTATTATTATTATTAGCCATCCCCTGCCACACATTGCTGTGGCTCAGTCTGGTGATCTGAAAAATAAAGTAATGAGAAAGTGCTGGTTTCTAATATATGTAATTTCTTTATGTTTGTGGGTAAACAGTATTTGATTACGTTTTCTTGTCCTGGTGAAAGGAGTTAGACTGGATTGCCTTAAGTATTTTCTATTGGTCATAGGGATTCTGTGTGGGAAGTTTGCCCCAATTCTGTCATTGGTGGGGTTCAGAATGCTCTTTGATTGTAATAACTACAACTACCAAATGTCAAGATTTATTTCCCCCAAACTCCATCTGTATTCCTAGTTGGGCATATTTAATATTCATGCCAAGTTTGGTCCAGATCCATCATTGTTTGAGTGCACAGTGCTCTCTGGATGTAGGTGTACTACAACTCCCAAACTCAATGTCAATGCCCACCAAACCCTTCTAGTGTTTTCTATTGGGCATGGGAGTCCTGTGTGCCATGTTTGGTTCAATTCCATCATTGGCAGAGTTCAGAATGCTCTTTTATTGTAGGTGAACTATAAATCCCAGCAACTACAACTCCCAAATGGCAAAATCAATTTTTTAGTGATGGTCACTCCTTGGATTAGTTGGTGTCTTGTGGCCAAATTTGGTGACAATTTGCCCAGTGGTTTTTGAGTTATGTTAGTCCTACAAATGAACATTACATTTTTATTTATTTAGATTGTTATTATAATTTTACTGAAACAAAACCACAATATGTCACAGCAAACAAGATCTATATCCTGGATTCGAACACTGGTGTTGAACACTTCCCAAGTGTCTAGGACTGTGTGATTTATTATTATTATTATTATTATTATTATTATTATTATTATTATTATTTGATACACAAGATGAGTACACAGCAAACAAGATCACTCTGCTGGCTGTTGTATTGGATCACACGTCGGACACTTCCCAAGTGTTTAGGACTGTGTGATGTATCGGTGAATAATGCATGCAGATCCAAGTAGAGTGGCCTTTTGCAGCTGACAGATGGTAATTTTGTCAGCACCAATTGTGTTTAAGTGCAGGCCAAGGTCTTTAGGCACTGCACTCAGTGTGGAACAAAGGACTCTTGTCTGCTGGAGCTAGGTGTGAATGTTTCAACTGACTACCTTGATTGGCATATAATGGCCTGACAGTGCCTGGAGCAAACTTTTGTTGAGAGGTGATTAGATGTCCAGATTGTTTCCTCTCTGTTGTTTTGCTGTTGTAATTTTAGAGTTTTTTTAATACTAGTAGCCAGATTTTGTTCATTTTTATGGTTTCCTCCTTTCTGTTGAAATTGTCCACATGCTTGTGTATTTCAATGGCTTCTCTGTGTAGTCTGACACGGTGGTTGTGAGAGTGGTCCAGCATTTCTGTGTTTATGCATTAGCATAAATATTTAAAATATACAAACATATGAACATTAACACAGGATGAAATATAGACAGTGTTTAAAACATTCCCAATTAAACACCATTAAAACAAATTCAAAGCTAAAAACTCTATTCCAAACTCTGAAAATTCCGTTGCTTTTCATGTGTCTCAGATCAGGAATCTGCATATACTAACATAAACAGATGAGGATTCAGAAATAACTTCCACCATTTAAATAGAAATGCCATCTATGGGAGGCTCTTGATGAGATACTGCCACTCTTCTGCCGTCCATGTGTTAATTTCCAAGGCCCCACTTCTTCCGCATTATGGGTGGTGATCGTTGAAGTCAACAGCCCTATGGAAGAACTTAATAATTCCTGCTGCCTTAAGAAAGCTCAGAGCATTCTTGGGGATCCCTCTCACCCGGCGTATTCTTTATTTCTTTATTTGGAACATTTATATCCCGTCTTTTTCACCTCTGAAGCGGGACTTAGGATGGTTACCAACAGGCTGTTGTAGTAGAGTCTGATAGCAACGCTGCAACTGGTAGTGAGCGTACTGGAAGAGGGAAGAGGAGTGCTCAGGAGTTAGATGAGGAGCAACAGAGGAAGAGGATCCGGGAGATACTTATGTCACCCATGGATGAAGATTCCTTCGAGGGGTTTTCTGAGAGTGAAATGAGTGAGGAGGAGGAAAGAGATACAGTGGATGGGAATAGGGGAACTAAGAGGGTTACTCAGGAGCAGGAATCAGATGAGGAGCGACAGAGAAAGAAGATTTGGGATATACTTAACTGCTTCCACAGAAGAGGAGGATTTCATGGGTTTCTCTGGGAATGATGGGTCTGGGAGTGATGGGGATGAGGATGAATCACTGGATTGGACTAAGGTGCAAGAGGTTCGGGATGTGTGTACTCAACCAACGTCTAGTGACACGTTTGTGGGGTTTTCTGGTGATGGGGATTGGCAATCGGGAGATACTGGGGATTCTTTGAGAGAACTAAGTCTTGACAAGTCTTGGTCTGATCTGACCATGGTGGTCCACGCTCTTGTCACATCCCGGTTGGATTACTGCAACGCACTCTACGTGGGGTTGCCTTTGAAGACTGCTCGGAAACTTCAATTAGTCCAGCGAGAAGCAGCCAGATTGCTCACCGGAGCGGCGTACAGGGAGCATACCACCCCCCTGTTGCGCCAGCTCCACTGGCTGCCGATCCAATTCCGAGCACAATTCAAAGTGCTGGTTTTGACCTATAAAACCCTATACGGCTCCGGCCCAGTGTATTTGTCCGAACGTATCTCCCGCTACATCCCACCTCGAAGCTTAAGATCTTCTGGGGAGGCACTGCTCTCGACCCCGCCACTCTCACAAGTGAGGTTGGCGGGGACGAGGAGCAGGGCCTTCTCAGTGGTGGCCCCCCACCTGTGGAACTCACTCCCCAGGGAGATTAGATCGGCGACCTCCCTCCTGGCATTCAGGAAACAACTGAAGACCTGGGTCTGGGACCAAGCCTTTGGACACACTGGCAGCTAAATTAAGGATCTGATGACAGACAACGACAAATGGAATGGAATGGTTATATGGACTCTGAACCCGAGCATGAGATTGTTTTAATATTTTATTATGTACTGATGTTTTAACTTTAACTGTTGAATTGTTTTGTTGTATTTATATTTTGTTAATTGATTTAGGCATTTAATTCTGCCTTCTCTGTAAGCCGCCCTGAGTCCCCCTCGGGGTGAGAAGGGCGGGGTATAAGTAATTGAAATAAATAAATAAATAAATAAGAGGTGGAGCCGAGGTTATAACCCAGACCTCTTATTTGTGAGTGACAGCATCGTACAGCAATGCACTAAATCAGTGGGACCACTGGCGTTCAGCTGTAGAAGCTAAACCAGCTGAAAGTGATGATGACGGGGTGGAGGGCAGCTCATCATCGGATGATGAGTTGTAAGATAAAAGTAGGCACTGAAATGGAAGAACTTTGCAGTAGGCAAAGTGTTGGTTTCGTGCCTTGGGTCTTGTCGCTGCCGCTTTCGTGTTGGGCTTGGGTCCTGGATCTGCAGGTTGCTGTTTACCTTCGTGTTACAACTCAGCTTGGATTCTCGTGAGTGTGGATTTCCCCTTTCCTTGACTTCGGACTGCTTTTGACGATGACACTGCCTCCTGGACTTTGAAACTGAAGTTTGCCATGGCTGGTATGTATGGACACTCTCACTATGGGGAAGGTTAAAGAGGACTAGTGGGTGGCTATTTTTTTGTGGGGGGGGGTTTTGTTTTTTTTTTTTTTGTTTCTTTTCTCTTTCGTCCTGCTATTTGTGGTGACTGATCATCACATAACTTACCTGGTGACTGAGCTCTACCAACATCCACTGGCATTCCTGCTCCATGGAAAGAGGTGACTTCAGAGCTGGAGAGCTGCAGGGTCCTTCCAGGCCGTAACTGGCTGGGCTCAGGTATTGGGTTCATTACAGAGGCATCTTAAGGTCATCAAAAGAAAGAAACAGAAATCTTGAAGAATTTGTGCATATGGTGACGGAAAAGCACTATCTATATCTATCTATATCTATATCTATATCTATATCTATATCTATATCTATATATATAATAAAGAAGAGTGTTTGTATCGGACAGAGGAATTGTGGAGGGCGGTGTATGTGGCAGCGTTCTGATTGGCTGCCGCTGTGGTGCTATTTGCATATGGTCTCTGATTGGCCAGCTTCAATAGGAGCCCCTGGTGGAGAAGAGGGTTCATGGCAGAAACGGGGCATGACAGAAGGAAATTTGCATATGGTCTCTGATTGGCCAGCCTCAAATCCAACATTCCGAGATGAGAAAGAGAGGAAAGGAAAGGCCGGGGACTGGGTCAGAACACTCCCTATACAGATCGAAATAGGCACACAGAGCCCCCATCACCCACTCTACATCCTACTGCAGTTTGGAGGACTATGAACCATGGATGATGGGACTTGCAGTACCACCACTCACATTCTGAGACCGCTCTCAACCTTATCCAATGACTGATCAGGACCAAACTTGGCACATAGGCCTCTCATGACCCACTTTACGTCCTGGTGTGGTTTGGCCATGGGGATGGACCATGGATTATGGGACTTGCAGTACCTTTGCTCATTCTGAGACCACTGCAACCCTCATCCAATTACCAAAAAAAACCAAACTTGGCACACTGAGTCTCCATGACGCACTCTACATCCAGGTGCAGTTTGAAGGAGGATGCACCATGGACGATGGGACTTGCAATACCTGCACTCCCTTCCTAAGACCATTATAACTGCCAACAATGATGGATCAGGACCACAATTTACACAGAGAGTCCGCATAACTCACTCTACATCCTGGTGCGGTTTGGAAGAATTTGACAATGGATGATGGGACTTGCAGTCACTTCACTCACTTCCTGAGACCACTGAGACCCACGCCAATGACTCATCAAGACTAAACTTGGCACATGGAGCTTCAATGACCCACTCTACATCCTGGAGCAGTTTGGAGGACGACAGACCATGGATGATAGGACTTCAAGTACCTTCACTACCCAAGACTGCTGCAAAACCCATCTAATGACCAATCAAAACCAAACTTGGCACACAGAGCCCACATGACCCAATCTACATCCTGCTGCAGTTTTGGAGAAGGGTGGACCATGGATGATGGAACTTCCAGTACCTTCACTCACATTCTGAGACCTCTGCAAACCTCATCCAATGACGGATCAACACCAAACTTGGCACATAGACCTCTCATGACCCACTTTACGTCCTGGTGTTGTTTGGAAAAATTTGGAGATGGATGATGGGACTTGCAGTACCTTTGCTCACTTCCTGAGACCACTGAGACCCTCGCCAATGACTCATCAAGACTAAACTTGCCACATGGAGCTCCAATGACCCACTCTACATCCTGGTGCAGTTTGGAGGAGGACAGACCATGGATGATGGGACTTCAAGTACCTCCACTCCCTTCCAAAGATTGCTGCAACCCTCTTCTAATGACCAATCAAGACCACACTTGGCACACAGAGCCCCCATGATCCACTCTACATCCTGCTGCAGTTTGAAAGGGGATGGACTTTGGATGATGGGACTTGCAATACCTTCACTCACTTACTGACACCACTGCCACCCTCATCTAATGACTGATAAAGACCAAACTTGGCACACAGAGCCCCCATGACCCACTCTATATCCTGCTGCTGTTTGTAGGAGGATGGCCCATGGATGATGGGACTTCAAGTACCTTCACTCCCTGAAAATAATAGCCATTACCCACTTTCTCTAATAACCCGGGCAACGCCGGGTCCCCAAGCTAGTATATAATAAAGAAGAGTGTTTGTATCGGACGGAGGGAGGGCGGTGTATGTGGCAGCGTTCTGATTGGCTGCCGCTGTGGTGCTATTTGCATATGGTCTCTGATTGGGCAGCTTCAATAGGAGCCCCTGGTGGAGAAGAGGGTTCATGGCAGAAACGGGGCATGACAGAAGGAAATTTGCATATGGTCTCTGATTGGCCAGCCTCAAATCCAACATTCCGAGATGAGAAAGAGAGGAAAGGAAAGGCCGGGGCCTGGGTCAGAACACTCCCAATACAGATCGAAATAGGCACACAGAGCCCCCATCACCCACTCTACATCCTACTGCAGTTTGGAGGACTATGAACCATGGATGATGGGACTTGCAGTACCACCACTCACATTCTGAGACCGCTCTCAACCTCATCCAATGACTGATCAGGACCAAACTTCGCACATAGACCTCTCATGACCCACTTTACGTCCTGGTGTGGTTTGGCCGGGGATGGACCGTGGATTATGGGACTTGCAGTACCATTGCTCATTCTTCAGACCACTGCAACCCTCATCCAATTACCAAAAAATACCAAACTTGGCACACTGAGTCTCCATGACGCACTCTACATCCAGGTGCAGTTTGAAGGAGGATGCACCATGGACGATGGGACTTGCAATACCTGGACTCCCTTCCTAAGACCATTATAACTGCCAACAATGATGGATCAGGACCACAATTTACACAGAGAGTCCGCATAACTCACTCTACATCCTGGTGCGGTTTGGAAGAATTTGACAATGGATGATGGGACTTGCAGTCACTTCACTCACTTCCTGAGACCACTGAGACCCTCGCCAATGACTCATCAAGACTAAACTTGGCACATGGAGCTTCAATGACCCACTCTACATCCTGCTGCAGTTTGGAGGAGGACAGACCATGGATGATGGGACTTCAAGTACCTCCACTACCCAAGACTGCTGCAAAACTCATCTAATGACCAATCAAGACCAAAGTTGGCACACAGAGCCCCCATGACCCACTCTACATCCTGCTGCAGTTTTGGAGAAGGGTGGACCATGGATGATGGAACTTCCAATACCTTCACTCACATTCTGAGACTTCTGCAAACCTCATCCAATAACGGATCAAGACCAAACTTGGCACATAGACCTCTCATGACCCACTTTACGACCTGGTGTTGTTTGGAAAAATTTGGAGATGGATGATGGGACTTGCAGTACCTTTGCTCACTTCCTGAGACCACTGAGACCCTCGCCAATGACTAATCAAGACTAAACTTGCCACATGGAGCTCCAATGACCCACTCTACATCCTGCTGCAGTTTGGAGGAGGACAGACCATGGATGATGGGACTTCAAGTACCTCCACTCCCTTCCAAAGATTGCTGCAACCCTCTTCTAATGACCAATCAAGACCACACTTGGCACACAGAGCCCCCATGATCCACTCTACATCCTGCTGCAGTTTGAAAGGGGATGGACTTTGGATGATGGGACTTGCAGTACCTTCACTCACTTACTGACACCACTGCCACCCTCATCTAATGACTGATAAAGACCAAACTTGGCACACAGAGCCCCCATGACCCACTCTATATCCTGCTGCTGTTTGTAGGAGGATGGACCATGGATGATGGGACTTCAAGTACCTTCACTCACTTCCTGAAAATAATGCTGCCATTATCCAAAGACCAATAAAGACCAAACTTGGCATACAGAACCACCATTACCCACTTTCTCTAATAACCCGGGCAACGCCGGGTCCCCAAGCTAGTATATAATAAAGAAGAGTGTTTGTATCGGACAGAGGAATTGTGGAGGGAGGGCGGTGTATGTGGCAGCGTTCTGATTGGCTGCCGCTGTGGTGCTATTTGCATATGGTCTCTGATTGGGCAGCTTCAATAGGAGCCCCTGGTGGAGAAGAGGGTTCATGGCAGAAACGGGGCATGACAGAAGGAAATTTGCATATGGTCTCTGATTTGCCAGCCTCAAATCCAACATTCCGAGATGAGAAAGAGAGGAAAGGAAAGGGCGGGGGCTGGGTCAGAACACTCCCAATATAGACGAAACTTGGCACACAGAGCCCCCATCACCCACTCGACATCCTACTGCAGTTTGGAGGAGTATGAACCATGGATGATGGGACTTGCAGTACCACCACTCACATTCTGAGACCGCTGTTAACCTTATCCAGTGACTGATCAGGACCAAACTTCGCACAGAGACCTCTCATGACCCACTTTACATCCTGGTGTGTGTTTGTCTGGGGATAGACCATGGATTATGGGACTTGCAGTACTTTTGCGCAATTCCTGAGACCACAGCAACGCTCATCCAATTACAGATAAAGACCAAACTTGGCACACTGAGTCTCCATGACGCACTCTACATCCAGGTGCAGTTTGAAGGAGGATGCACCATGGACGATGGGACTTGCAATACCTGCACTCCCTTCCTAAGACCATTACAACTGCCAACAATGATGGATCAGGAACACAATTTACACAGAGACCCAGCATGACCCTCCTGGTGCGGTTTGGAAGAATTTGACAATGGATGATGGGACTTGCAGTCACTTCACTCACTTCCTGAGACCACTGAGACCCTCGCCAATGACTAATCAAGACTAAACTTGGCACATGGAGCTTCAATGACCCACTCTACATCCTGGCGCAGTTTGAGGACGACAAACCATGGATGATGGGACTTCAAGTACCTCCACTACCCAAGACTGCTGCAAAACTCATCTAATGACCAATCAAGACCAAACTTGGCACACAGAGCCCCCATGACCCACTCTATATCCTGCTGCTGTTTGTAGGAGGATGGCCCATGGATGATGGGACTTCAAATACCTTCACTCACTTCCTGAAAATAATGCTGCCGTTATCCAAAGACCAATAAAGACCAAACTTGGCATACAGAACCGCCATTACCCACTTTCTCTAATAACCCGGGCAACGCCGGGTCCCCAAGCTAGTATATAATAAAGAAGAGTGTTTGTATCGGACAGAGGAATTGTGGAGGGAGGGCGGTGTATGTGGCAGCGTTCTGATTGGCTGCCGCTGTGGTGCTATTTGCATATGGTCTCTGATTGGGCAGCTTCAATAGGAGCCCCTGGTGGAGAAGAGGGTTCATGGCAGAAACGGGG